GTGTGTGCGTGTGCGTGTGCGTGTGTGTGTGCGTGTGCGTGTGCGCGTGTGTGTGTGTGTGTGACAACTGTGTAGTCACTCCACAGCACCCACACAGCCGTGGTTACTATCTATATAACACGCATGCATGCGTGTGTGCGCTGCGAACAACTGTATATTCTTTCCACAGTACCCACACAGTCGTGGTTAGTATCTACATGTGCGTGTGTGTACTATGCTAGCGGTACTATGCATGGCGACAGTTCTTACCCGAGGCCGAGTCCAAAGCGCAGCAACGCAAGCTGCCAGTACTCAACGACGAATCCCATAAGTAGAGTCATTAGCGACCAGAAGCAGACGCTGACGGCCAGCATAGACTTCCTGCAGACGAACAACGTAGGATCACGGTTAGTTAACACTTACATTTACATTGACAGCTGTATACACATGTATTGATAGTTAGTTAACACTTACATTTACATTGACAGCTGTATACACATGTAATGATAGTTAGTTAACACTTACATTTAACATTTGAGACACGCTTATACACATATTGATATAGTTAACACTTAACATTTACATTGACAGCTGATACACAATGAATAAAAGTTAGTTAACACTTACATTTACATTGACAGCTATATACACATGTAATGATAGTTATCACTTGCATTTACTGCTGTATAAACATGTATAGTCATCTTTGTAGTAATAGAAGTGTCCTATTTTCTTACTCTTGTAATTATATGCGTTATGATTAAACATCTCTATGTGTGTACGTATAAATATATATATATATATATATATTATCATAAGGCAGGTACACGAAATGTCCATTGTGTTTATTTATATGCGTTTATTATGTATCTATTAGTATTGTGTACAACGAAATAGTATGTTGGTCTATAATGTTACGAGGAATTAGCTGATATATGCTAAAATGGCACTAGCTACTGAACACTGTTAAATTACATGTGTGTCACCATATTAGCATACCTGTTGTAAAGATCGGCCGCAAAACCTATAGGTATGCCAGCGAATGTGTAGATGAGTATAAACACTGGACCAGCAAATGATCTGGTACTGCAAGCCCTGTCCATTGTAGTCCCACTGCACACGTGTGTTTTATTGACGTCCACCACATTGTTACACCTGAAAATCATCGTCGAAACTAAATGCGTGACGTGAAATATCTACCACACACATGAAGCCTGGAGAAACCTGGCTAAGGAAGTAGTAAGTTATCTCTTCTAAGTTATTCTACGGTAACTTGGTTCCGAATAATGCAATACAGCATGGTCACACGAGAACATGTGCCATAATGACCACTAGAGCATTGCAGGCCTTACTAAATTCTAGTTCTGTATAGGGGACGAAAAATTGTCATTTAGTTACAGCGAGAACACATACACACGTAAAAACTATCGATAATTACTAGTCCCCCTGTATGATCACAAAGATCGTTTGTTCACACTGCTAACATAACTCTGAAAGCTCACAATAGAAATGTCACAGCAACCGCCATCAATCATCGCTAAAGGAATTTTCGCTGATCTAGGCGGTTGGGAACAGAGTGTCTACGGAAGCATAAATGCTAATTCCTTCCCCTGTAATTCCACAAGACCAGACAACCGGTCCCAACCCAAGTTATATACATAATATCGTGCGTAACTGTGTGATCGTGTCAACTTACGCGGTCTCCGTCGTCACGTTTTTGCACGCGCGATTTCATGATCGTCGGCTGAAGCGGAATCGTTCCTCATGCAGACGACATCGCCATAATGAATGTCCTGAAACGTCCCGAAACTAAATGCTAATCAGACTCGGCATCATGCGAGTAGCTTATAGTGAAGTTACAAGGAGATTATGCTGTATACATATAGATGCAGATTGAGGGGTGTGTGCAACACATTTCGTATTTAAATTTAAATCTTGTAATCTACTGTTGAATGAAGTAGAGTATATCAACGAAAGACCCCTTGAATGTAATGTTATCATGCCATAGGCCACTAGAAGCGTAAGAGCGATTAGGTAAACTCATTACTTATTCACGCCACGCGGCAGAACCCCGCCCAGACCCCTTTTACGCCAATCACCACACATATCCCGATAAGCGCCGTGCGAAGAAAACAGCGCAACCATATGAACTAGTGACATCCGCCCTTCTCCTGAGAGAAATTACCAGCCCCTGAATAACTGTTTCCAGTAAAATTGTAACCACAACCTAAATTGTAACTCCTGGCCGACTAGTGCCGCTTGCACGCAGATGTCTGACCGCCACAGCTATCCAAGATACTAAAGGCCACTACTCCTATCCCAACGAATACATGTGTGAATTCTGGTTACAGTCCCGTAGAAACAAATGGAATTAATAAGCACAACAAAGTTACAGCAACAATTTGTCTACATCGACTGCTGAATAACAGAACACACACTTGCTTCATTCACAACTTTCACTTCGTTGTGTGTTTACAGTTCGACCCTGATTTAGTTCTTGTATGCATCCGATTCCTCTTTCTCTGGACGAACGGCCGCGGCATACCTTCATCGCGCGCCTCTGGTCTGTCCGGTAAAACGAACATGTTTTTTGGGGTGCGGCTTTCCCCCCCCCCCAAGCTGCGTGCTTTGTGTTGATTGACCTCAGGTCCAATACGACTCGGGTAACATCGAATGATCAAGATGAAGTTCTCAACCGGTCTCACGAATAGAACGTCTTCCTCGCTGAGTAGGTCCCCCGAGTTCATCTGAACTGTATGATCGAGGTGCAATCCAGCGCTGGTGTAAACCAAATGCCTGGATGCCAATTGTGCTGGTACCTTCATCGCTACCCTTACCGCTGGCCACGGAAAACCAGGAGAATAACTGCTTTGCCTAACGCTCCTGGTCGTGTAACGCTTTCTGAGTAACCTGACGTAGGTAGCAGTCTATCTACTATGTCATCTCGAATCAGGGCTACGTGTTATGATCTTCACAAGGTAGATTGCTCCTGACTTGCGTGGGGGGGGTGGCGGGGGGCCGTTGAGCACCTCACGCGGAGAATGAGAGGGTGACAGTCGACAGGCGTAGATCTTGAGAATCGAGTAGGCGCATGTCCTGGGTCGGTGTGAGCAGACTTAGACGTTGGCTAGCGTAC